GTATTGCTGCTCAGAGTAATGACATTTGCCTAAGTCATTTTAGAAATATTTTAAAAAGTAGGCAAAGCCAAACCTCTTTGGATAGATATTTTACCAAGCGACTTCTATCCAGTGAAAGTGCTGGTGGAAGTGAAGGAAAGAAAGCAAAAAAGCAGCGAATAAAAATTAAAACAAATATATATAAAACAACACTAATTTTTTAAATCTTTTCTAAGTTATTTTTAAGTTATTGTTACATTGTTATGTAAGTTAAGTTTTAGTATCATTTCCCTTCTCCCTCTCTTCCGCTACCAGTTTACACCTCCACCGTCCTCAAAGGTAAAGCACAAATAAAACTAATTTTTTAAAATCAATTATTATTCTATTATGGTTATTTATACATTTACAACTAGAAAATGCATTTTTCAGTGTTTTCCTTACTATAGTTATTTTTTTTCAATGTACTACTTAGTTTTAATTTGAGTATTTTTTTCGTGTTGGAACGAATTATTTGGTTTTACATGTAATCGTATGGGAAAAAATGATTCACCTTACGACATTTTCATGATACGATCTCAGTTTCGGAACGGATAAATTTCGTATCCTGAGGTACCACTGTAAGTAGAGAATTAGAATATGCAATATATGCCAAAAAATTTGGTTCCAGAGCTAATCTACAGTATTTTGTTTTTCCGTGTCTTGCAGGCTTTCTGCTGCTGACAGGATATAGTCTTACCACTTTTCTGCTCTCTGTTGCTTGTACAAATGACCCGAAAATGTTTATTATTTCTTTTTATGAGATTGAGTGACGGTTTACATATGTTTATAGTCCACCCGTGGCCGAATGGATAAAGCCACTAAACACAGAGATTAGTCGCGGGTTCGCACCTCGTCAATGGGCTGGCCATGTGGAGTGTTGCAAGTTTTCTTCGTTTGTAATATCTAAATATGGACCACTTTCCCATAAAAGACCTCTCGGCAGATCGCCCATGTATCGCGTTACCGTAAACGAATAAACCTAAACATAAAAACCTACACGTTTATTCAAACTGCGTTTTTCACAGACGTCTGCATATATTAGAAAGACTTTACGTACAGATAATTGGATCAAGTTACTTCTTAATAAAACAATCCAACGTCATAATTTCGGATTTTTAATTAAAAATATTCAAAAACAAATTTCTAAGTCCGTAGCCTAATACAAAATCCTCGGACTTCTTTAGCTTTTCCAAATTCTTCCGAAGCCTTTTATGTAAATGAAAACTTGTTTGATTTAAAGGCTCAGGCTATTCTATTAGCTGAGCTTCATCTTTAGTTTGCGAGTCCACAATTCGTAAAGGTTTATATCATCAATTTCTGTTGTTAAAAATACACAAGCACAAACATAAAATCTCAAAATAACGATGAAACGCCAATGAAAAATTATTTTCTGATAGATGGGACCGACCGATGTGAATATACTGCACACGAATTTCCTGCGTATATACTTCCCCATATTTGAGTTGCATTAGGACGATTTACATTATTCCGTCTGCGTCTCATGGATTCTGGCTTTCAGAGAACATTTGTTAGATTAAATATTTTTAAGTAAAACATTTAAACTTTCACTTCTGGAAGGTTTCAGCTTTGCTCAGGTTCCGGCTTTCACAGGTTTTACTGTACACGTTTATATCCTAATTGAAGTAAATGATTACATGATACAATCTACAATCCCTGCCCTGTTGAAAGCTTAATATGGGGTCCAGTGGATACAGTAGGGCTCTTTTATCCTTTTTTTAGGAACAAATGAAATACATAGTATGTTTATTTACTAATAAATAGCATTCTTAAAGATTTTATTTTTTCTTAGTAAAAATAACATTAATTCGTAGATGTAGGAACCAACCACTATGGGCCCCTAAATTTCTCCTTGTTCTTTACAACTATATCATTTGTAGATTAAGCAGATGGGGCAAGAGCCCAAAAAAACTTAACCTAAAAAGTCCATTTCACACATTTTGATTTAGTTATATAACATAAATAATGTAAGCTAAAATTTATATCTTCAATGCTAAGATTTCTAATTTGCTATGAAATGATATACTGAAAACATTTTAAAAATAAATGTTACTAATATAAGTATGAACACAATTTAAAACAATAAATAAATTTTAAAATTATATTGAGACTTTATTTACATAGCGATTAATAGAGATAATGTTTTAATTCTAACTTTATCATTGATTGTATATTTTAAGGACATATTTACAATCAATAGGATCATTATATAAAATGTAGAAAACTGCAGAATAATTTATGCAAAAAAATATATGCCCAAATACAAAATAAAAAAAAATATTAAAAAGCAATAAACATTTCTGTGATATTTTTTAATTTGAACAAAAATTTAAAGAATCATATATTTTCTTCTGAAATTTTCACATATAAAATCAGCTATAACAGTCTTTTATAAAAAAAATTTTCAATAATTTTGTTGATATATTTTAAATATCTTTTCAGTACTGAATTATTTATGATTTGATTTTCAGTGACAGACAACAGGTATTTTATATTGATATAAAAACAGAAAAGAAAAAAAACAATCATATTTTTGAACAGAAAATTTTTATTTTCCTAGATTACTATGAATTACCAGTTTCTTTAAGTGTTTCTTGAATCTTTGATATTAAGCGACATGCATAAAATTTTCTATAATCACTTGGCAAATCTTTAATGGATCTTAATGCTTTTTCTAAATGATCGAATGCATTGTTGGCTAATATTAAATCCTTATTTCCATATATGTCTTTCTTGTCATAATAAGTATCTTCTAAATTTTTCCAAAAAACATTAACAGCAATACTAAAGCTCAATGCTGTTACATTATGAAACCATAATGCTGAAAATATAAAATGTTATTTTTTATTATTCATTTTATATATATATA